AAATTTGAATTTTGAAATTTTGAATTTGAATTTCGAAATTCGAATTTTGAATTTGAAATTTGAATTTTGAAATTTGGATTTTGAATTCAAATTTTGAAATTTGAATTTTGAAATTTGAAAATTTGAATTTTGAATTTGAATGTTTGAACATTTGAATTTGAATATTTGAATGTTTGAATTCAAATATTTGAATTTGAATTTGAATTGCCTATGAAAGGTTGTTTCATAACAAAAGGATAAGATGAGATCTTGTTGGAACAAATCACTAGTATCATGAGAGAATCTTTTGGACAAGATCCAAGGCCATATATGGCGCTGATTTGGGTTGTTGGTGAGCAAGATTTGCTCATCAAAATCAGCTCCAGAAGATTCAGTCAGTTGGGAGAAAATCTGAGTGAGTTGATTCAAATTTGAATGCAACTACTCAGATGTATCTGGTCCCTTTTTTGGCTATATGGGGCGCACCATATAGCTGATCTTATGAAGATTTCTGATCAGAATTTTGAATAGGTTTTTGAACCAATTCTCAAGAGAATATTCTAGGAGACTGTTAGCAATTTTTGAAATAAAACAGCTCTACTTCTCTCTCTCCAATCTGGCGCCTAATGATCAGATTTTTAGTAGAAAAATCCGATTGGTATTTTATTTTAAATACTCTCCTCTTATGCACCTATGTAGTTAGTTGTTCCTCCAAGGGTTTTTCTGAAAACCTAGCCTATTCTCTCCTCTCTCCTGCGCCACTTGTGAAGCTTTCACATTGAGAGCTTCACTTTTTCAAACACTTTCACCTAGCCTCCATCTTCACACATAGAGCGCCTAGCAAGCCTCTTTGTGGTGATCATCCGGTGGCTTCACAAGAAGGAGTTCTTGCACCTAGACGAGTGGGTGGTGTGGATCAACATTAGAGGGTCTGAACCCTTCAGACCGGCCTTGATCATCTGGTGATTTCACGAACAAGGTAACATCATGCTTTCCTAAAGCATGATCTTGATGTGCATGTATATTCCGCAAAGAAAAATTTTGTTTTTCCCTCTTACATGCATCGGCCTTCAAGGCCATTTCGAACTTTCAGTTACTCTTAACCACATAGCTCCCAAAAAGGAGGGAACATCTAATGTTCCACTCCAAAAGTCCAAATATGGTACGTCCCGTTCTGGGAACGTAGTTTTGGGGTGGTCCCTGAACACACAATCCCCCAAAAAAAAAGAGGGAAAAGGAGAAAACCCTCCTAGTTATTGCAGTCTAGTTTACTTTCAGTATTATTTATGTTAATTCTGTTTTTCTTTTCTGTTCCCTTGTAAATACTCCTTTTTGCTGTTATCAAAAAAAAAAATACTCCTTTTTGCAATGAAAAAGACTTTTTGATCGAACTGCTTGGTACATACATTTCAGTTATAGTATTAAGTCTGCCCAATTATTTTTGACTAACCAACATACATGAAACACAAAGTCACTGACTAATCATGCTTATTCTTTCTCTGAGTACTTGAAATAGAAAAAAATGCAGGGAATTTAATCCTTATATTTTTGAAGGAAGCTGATCTGTGTGAACTCAAGCTAGTAAGGAACGAAAAAAAAGCCAAACATTCACGTATGAGAGCGTTCCTGAGGTGTAACCACAATGAAACTTCTCAATTTGCCTTGATGCTGTAAGTACTGCTGAAGAACAGATGGACTCCACTGCCAAGGATCAAACAGAACCACACACTCACCTCCACTCCATAATACACCACCTGGTCAACCAAAAAGGGCAAGGAACAGATCCAACATTGAACAAAAAGGACAAAAGAAAGAAAAGAAAAAGAAAAAGGGAACAGTGATAACTCTTCAAAAGAGAGTTATTTTGGGCTTAATTGTGATGTTTTGGTGCTATGATTACATATAATTCTCTTGATTTTATATGATTAATGCATGAATTCTATGATTTCATGATTTAATTGAGAATTATGTTAATTACGTATATTTGGATACAATTTGAGCATTGGAAACATTTAAATGCATTTGTTATTTTACTGCAAGACAGTGCTATAGCATCGGAAAGCAGTGTTGTAGCAGTGCAGCTGAGGTCAGCAGCGCATATTGTTGACATCATCACCAGCAAGCCATGGATCCAAGCCCAATTTGATGGAAGAAGCTTCTGAACGTGTAATCAAAGGCCTGATCTGGATACCCGCTAAAAAAACGTCAAGAAATCACAAGCTAATCTTCATCAAATCAATGATTACAAATCCATTCAGATCTGAATTACAAATTTGGAAAGAATCTTATATGCAGCAGCATTAAGTGTTGTCCCTGATCAGCGCTGCAACAAATAAGGAAAGAATCTCCAATCAGTGCTACAGGAAAACAGAGCTGCATCTTCAATCATATCTGCAGCAAATAAGGAAAGAATCTTCAAACGCTGCAGCAAAACAGAGCTGCATCTTCAATCATAGCTGCAGCAAAACAGAGCAGATTTGAACATGATTTGAAATGGATTTGAAGATCTAATTGGAGCCCAATTCATCAAAGTCTATAAAAAGAGGAAGCCTACACATATCAAACAGGTTGGGGAGCCTCTCTTTGAGGCTGGTCACCATCTCTTTTAGACAGAGAAAGTAGGGGAAACACTTGGAAGAGATTTTGAGGGTTTGTTGAGAGAGATCCAACAGATCAAAGGGTGCGACTAGGGTTTGATAGAGAGATCATTAAATCCGGTGGATCCCTGCACTATTCCGGCGACTGAGATACAGTGGATGATAGCGGAGCCCATGGTTGCTGCGGGAGCAGTGCTACAGCAACGCCCCTGTTTGTTTTATTTTAGCTTTATGGAATCTTTATCCCTCTTTGTTTTTTCTTTCTATTCAAGTATGTCCTAAATTGTTAGGATTGGGTGATAGAGTATCCTTATTATGATGTAATCAGTTGGCCTAAACTTTGTTATGTGGTTTTCCAATTTGTTGTTTAATAAAGTGCTTAATTTGTCTCTATTCTTGTTGACTTATCGAGAGAGAGCTGCAAGGTAATTAGGATTTATGCTATAGAGATATAGGTAATTCCTGAATGTTATTAAGCATTGTGGTTTAACTAAGTAAAATTAGTTAATTGTGGGTAGAGAAATCACTTGCACCACAAAATCAAATGGAACTTGAACTTAATGAATTTATAACTTTGTTGGCCATAGAGATGTGGGACTTAGTATAGATGTATTGTTGGTGAGAGCCCTTGTATGCATTAGTGTTCTGATTACTGGTTGGATAATTACTATAGCATTGTTACTGCATTCTGGTGAAATTACAATATTGGAGAAATTGATCCTAATCTACTTTGTTACTTGACTTTTCTGTTCTTGAGTGCACTCTTAGTTTATTTTTACTTTGTTTTTTTTGTTATTAGTCAGTAGTTAGTATTACTTTAGTCCTTAGCTCTTATTTTATAAAACTTTCATAAACATTGTTACTTTTATTGCTTCACATTGATCCCAACTTTATAGTTTTCTTCGTGGGAACGATATCTGGACTCACACATCCACTTTATTACTTGTTGTAACATCCCAAGAGCTGGAAATGGCAGGGAGTGATCGCCGGTGCGAAAGGGCACGGACAATGAACGGCTCATGCCAAATCTTGCAGCTTGGGGGTTCATGAATGAATCGAATCAACACCCGAAAGAGAGGGATTCTAGAGACTGTGCTGGCATGGGACGGTACAGTTAGGAATGGCTTATAAGAATTAATTGGTACTACCTATACTAACAAGATGCATCTACTTTTCAGTAGCCCGGATCGGAAGAACTCCACAGTTAAGCGTGCTTGGTTTGGAGCTATTCTGGGATGGGTGACCTTCTGGGAAGTTTTCCCGGAAAGTGTGCGAGTGAGGACAAAGCACACTGAAAAGTCTCGTGTTAGTGTGTGGGGACAGTCATTGATTCTTGCAAGTTGTCAGGCATTACAAGTGGTATCAGAGCAGGGCCTCTCTTCCAGTACGGTGTGGTTCGAGGACGAACCAGGCGGAAGCTGGTGGGCATGTAACATCCCAAGAGCTGGCAAAGGCAGGGAGTCATCGCCGGTGCGAAAGGGCACAGACAATGAGCGGCTCATGCCAAATCTTGCAGCTTGGGGGTTCATGAATGAATCGAATCAACACTCAAAAGAGAGGGATTCTAGAGACTGTGCTGGTATGGGACGGTACAGTTAGGAATGACTTATAAGAATTAATTGGTACTACCTATACTAACAAGATGCATCTACTTTTCAGTAGCCGGATCGGAAGAACTCCACAATTAAGCGTGCTTGACTTGGAGCAATTCTGGGATGGGTGACCTTCTGGGAAGTTTTCCCGGAAAGTGTGCGAGTGAGGACAAAGCACACTGAAAAGTCTCGTGTTAGTGTGTGGGGACAGTCATTGATTCTTGCAAGTGGCCGGGCGTTACAAGCAATTAGTGTAACACCCTCTCTTGTAGGCCTCCAAGAGTGTTGTTTGGTAAGCGGAATTAGAGTTCTTTAATAGTATTTTAGAGACTAAAAAAAAATCGCTTTTACATTGCCAATTAAAACTAAAGAGGGGATCTGGTTAATTACAAAAATCAGAGTACGCAAAATTTCTTCAACGTACTAAAAATATAAATTTCCTGATAGACCTTGCTGTCTTTAAAAATTCGTATAAAATCCAGTTCAACGATTCAAAAATATATTCTTTGTAATCTGGAAACTAGACATCTGGGGCTTCACGTTCATATAAAATAATCGTGATTTGAAGTTCGTTTGCCCCTCGAAACATAACTCGCCAAATAAGAGATAAAACAGTGAAAATATCACAAACGTCCTGGCTGGTAAACTAGACATCTGGGGCTTCACGTTCATATAAAATAATCGTGATTTGAAGTTCGTTTGCCCCTCGAAACATAACTCGCCAAATAAGAGATAAAACAGTGAAAATATCACAAACGTCCTGGCTGGTAAATATCACAAATATCACAAACAGTTTTATATATAACGAAACTAGACACCTGGGGCTACATGTGAATATAAATTATAAGAAAATCGGAGGTCCGTAGCCCCAGTACGACAACTTACAAAGTGCTCGCAAAGACTTTTCAAAACTCAGCATTTAGATAACATGTCAAAATACTTTTCGCAAACGTTTCAACATCTGTTTCCAAAATACTTGCTGGTCATAAAATCGTAATGCAATAATAAAATCATAGTTCACAGTAATAAAAGCTTCTCAATTTCATACAGTCATCCATAAAATATCACATCAATAGCAGCATGCCCAAAACAGTAGAAGCCAACAACAATTACCCAAGTCCTCAAAAGCTTTTACGTCCTCCTGCCATTTTGTAAAAATAGCAGCCCCAAAGGGGTGAGAAAAATCCCAGTAGTGTGGCAACAAAACCAATAATGCAACAGTATTAAACTAGGCACAAAATTATAAACAGTCGCTTCAAACATGAAATCTTTTTCATCATATAACCTTTTCATCATATATCCTTTTCATCATTTATCATATTGCGTATATAACGCCTTCATCACGCTCATAGCACCGTCATGCGCGTGCCATCACAGTGGAAATTCCATGCACGGCACCATCATTTGGGGAATTCCACTGTGGCCTATGCGGACTGACGCCAACTGTCCCAGTACCCTGATATCAAGGGATGCCTATATGATGCGTGCTCAATCACATGGTCCTATATATTTAACTATTCTAAGACTCAAGACTAACATGAATTTGGTACATGCATGCCATGCGGTCACACACAAACAGAAAGACAAGTGCGGTATGATGTACGGTGCATGCATATATCATCATTTCATAACATATACTTCATGTACATTGGATGCCATACTTCCAAGCCATTCTTTCTTTTCATAACAGAATTTCCATAATCATAACATTTCCATAGGCAGAATAATTTCATCATTTATGGCAGAATAATCATAAGGCACATGTGAGCAACAATTCACAATTCATACACTAGTCAATAGTCACATCAGGTAATACCGCCTAACACATACCTTGGGTCCAAGCACTAATCAACCGCATCAAAATCATCCCACACTTTAGGAATTATGCGCACCTAGGCAAGTGCACCACAAGTCAGAATTTTATACGTCTATCCTATTATTCATATGCCACTTCTATGCTTTCCAAGTTCTTGCATTTTAATTGATTTAACATGCACCCAAAATTAATAGTTCACTGCCTAAATTTTTATCCCAACAATTGCTAGCAAAACAAAGTCTCCAAGGTTTCTGAAACATCCATCACCGGTTTTCATCAAGTTTCAATATGTTTTAGGACATTTATTTATCTAATCATCACTTATAAACCAAGTTGCGCTAATGGGCTAATAAGCATGCTGATTTCGTGTCTTTTACCATAAGAGATGCCTAACCCATTATTCTCACCCAATTGACAGTCCAATAAAATAAAACAAAGGAGTTATTTTCAAGTTTACAAAATCCAGTTTTGGCTTGCATGACTTAAATTCAAGGCTGTTTCGAAGAGGGCAGAATAAGGGAGGTGAAATGGCCAAATTAAAACAGTATCCCAACATGCATGAGGAGATCGAATTAGAGAAAGGAAGGAACCAGTTATGTTGGTACCTTCTTGCAGCCATACACACACAGCCCCAATTCGTACAGAACAGTCCTTCTCCCTCCAACAGTCCAAGAATCGGACCCAGCTGCATGCGTGGAGGGGGAAACTAACCTAGTACCAAGACCGACGCCTACAAAGAAGTAGCATGTAATCAGAACCAATTTCAGTAACTTTGACCAAGAAGAAGGAGAGTACATCACCTCCTTGGATGGGGTCCTCGGTTAAACGCAAGGGAGACAACAAAATAAGGAGAGAGACTTGAATTTCCATCGGCATGCAGAGGGGACTCCACCAACGAAAGGAGTAACAGTGAACCAAATTAATGGAGGTACAATACCTCCTCTGATTGCAATTCGATCAAGTGGGCACAGGGAAGGAAAGTACAGCTCTGCAGGCTGAGCCAAACTGAACAGATGACCAAACAGAACCAAAATGAAAGCACCTCATCCTGCATGCAGAAACCGTACAATGCAGAGAGCAACACCGAGTACTAGGATTTGAATTCACCCACTTGATTACACACTCATGGTTCCCAGCCTCTAAGGTTGGTGCTACGGTCCTTACCCTTCTCCTCTCCTAAAGCCACGGTTCTGGTCACATGCAATAGGTTCATCTACTCTTCAAGGACTACATGCACAGCTCATTTCCTCAAGTTGCTCTTCGGCCGAGCCAGTGGATGGAAATGGGAATAAGAAGTTGGATGATAGGCTTTCCTTGTGAAGCTCACGGACTTGGAGGAGTAGGTAAGAGGAAGGTCATTCAAGCTTTGCCTCTTCCATTTGACGATCCACGACTTTGCAGGAGAAGGGCGGCTGTGTATATGGTTCTGAATTAAGGGAACACAATCAGCTTCATCTTCTTCTTAGTTATACGCATGGAGGTGATGATGGCTAGGCTTTATTTTACGTCTGTGCTTGAAGAGATTATAGAGGGAAGCACCAGTTTTGTGACTCTCCAAAACATACAGGGAGGAAACTAAAGAGAGTTTTCTGTTTCTTTCCTATACAAGGATGACCGAATCCTTTGGTCAGCAAGGGTATAGCCGAACTTTGAGAGTGAGCCAAAGGGTTCCTAGATGGCTCACATACAAGAGGATGGATGGCTAGGTGGCGCAAATTCAGGGGATTTGAGAGGCTAGGTGGTGCACAAGTAAGAAAGGATCGTGTGTTGTGGTTTCCAACCAATGAAAATTCATGCAACAAAAGAGGGCCAATGAGAAGCATGCTTCCAGATTTCTTAGGATAGTAAAGTGGATGATTTTATAAGTGTTGGGCTAAATAACATCTTTTCCTAAAAGGTTTGGGCCGTGGGCCATTATCCATGAATGGAGTCTAATTCATCTTCCTATGAACCGTGAATTTTCATGTAATTACTAAGTATATTCTAGGGTCTTATTAGGAGCTATAATTAAGTTTTATCCTACACATGCTTATTTTTTTTTGTACTTATTAAGTATATACTTCTCTATCATTGCAATTAATTTAATTCTCTAATCTTATTAATTAATAATCAGAATATAGGTAGTATGATTAAATTAATTCTATTCTCTTTAACTTAAGAGTTTCAATTCCTAACACCTATTCCCTTAAATTATAATTAACCCATTTTCATGAATTAAAATTAAGTCCACCCTAAGTAAATATATACATACACACTTCGAGTCCAAAACACGCTTCAAGTCCCTAAACAATATATATAATTTCCTAAATTATGCGGGATGTTACACTTGTTGACACGTGTACTTGTGTAATGTGTGATTGATAAAAGGGGTACACAATTGCACAACAAACATCCATTCAAAAGAATTCAGACAATACCAGCAAACCTTCCTTCAAAAGGGGGAAAAAGGTATAAGAAAAGGTGTTCCCTCAAACAGAAAAAGTCCAAGTTCAAAGGCACAAAAGTAAACGTTCCTTGACCCTACAATTAAGACCACCATTCTTCCACACTTCCATACACTCATCCATCAAAAGATCCTTGGAAGGGAAGACAACTGTACTTCATAGAAAGCAGCAGAAAGGCAAGTTCTGAAGAATCGCATCTAGGAATGGACAGAGCAAACACCAAACCCTGAGTGATAATGAGACAGAAGATCAGCAACCTTCACTTGCCTAGGAACAAATTCTTCTTACTATTTAACTGTGAAGAGTAACTCATTTTTTGAAAAGTTCATGATTATTCACTGGCTCAAGTTTCTTTCTGTTGAGCGATTCTTTGAAATTGGGCAGCCCAATACAATATTTCTGAGTTATTTGAGGACAACCAACAGTATAGTTTTGGGGTGTTTGATGGGACGTAAATTCGTTCCCATCTAAGCCCATTTTGATGGCAAAATACCACACGTTCCCTCATCTGATGAGCAACTTCAGCATGAAAATCACTTGTTTTACACATTTGTGATAAAAACACAGTGGGGGAACGTATGGAGATGTATTCCTTTAAAATATATTAAAAAGGGAACGGACTGAGACGCATTTAATGCACCTACTCCACTCATTTAATACCTCTGTACACTTTGCAGGAAACGTGGATATAAAGTCTTCTAAAAGTAGAGGCGGTGCACCATTTAAGCACTAGGAAACGTGAAGACAGAGAATCAAGAGTTCTCATTGGCCAAAGAAGAAAGCAAGACATGGGGGGACTGCAAAAAACGGCTAATCATCAACAAATCATGTCCCATCCAGCAATTTGCATAGCTTCTATACTCTGCTGCCACCGACCTGTCCCTTCACGCAAAAACCCAACTCCAAAGGATTTCCAAGATTGCCACTCCTCTTCCACCTATAAATAGAACGCCCCATACACAAAAACATCATCGAATCCTGGAGGACATGTTGAGGGCATGTTGAGGGCTTGCAACTTCCTTGATCATTGTCCTTGCAAGTTCTTACAGGACACGGTTTTTCCTTTCTACAACTCCATTTTGTTGCGGAGTCCTAGGAGTGGAAAAATTGTGTTGAATTCCATTTTCATCACAAAACATTTCAAAATCTTGATTTTCAAATTCTCCCCCATGATCACTTCTAATAGAAACAATGTTCAAAGATTTTTCATTTTGAATAAACTTGGCTAATTTTCTAAATGCTTGAAAAGCTTTAATTTTATGAGCAAGGAATAATGTCCATGTAAAGCGAGAAAAATCATCCACAATGACAAATGCATAGTAATTTTCACCAAAGCTCATAGTTTGTGTAGGTCCAAAAAGATCCATGTGCAACAGTTGTAAAGGCCTAGTAGTTGAAACAATATTTTTAGATTTGAAAGATGCCTTCACTTGTTTTCCCTTTACACATACATTACATAATTTGTCATTTTGAAATTTAAGCTTTGGAAGACCAATTACTAAGTCTTTAGAGATCAATTTGTTTAAGTGATTCATGCCAATGTGTGCAATTCTTTTGTGCCATAACCATGAATCATTTTCCTTACTAACCAAGCAACTGTCGTAATTTGAAGACATACCATCTAGATCAATTATGTAGATATTATCCACTCTATAGCCCTTAAACTTAACTTGCCCATCATTTAAACTTTCAATTTTGCAATATTTTGAATCAAAAATAATTTTAAAATTTTTGTCGCATAATTGACTGATGCTTAGCAAGTCATGTCTAAGACCTTCAACAAGTAAAACATTTTCTATACAGGTTGAAGAAGAGTTACCAGCTTTCCCAATGCCAAGGATCTTCCCTTTGTTGTTGTCCCCATAGGATACATGTCCATGTTCTTTCCTTGTGATTGAGAGAAATTTGGTGATGTCTCCTGTCATATGCCTTGAACAGCCACTATCCAATACCCATTTGGATGAAATGCTTCTCAAGTATACCTACAAAACAGTTTTAACGTTTAATCTTTGGTACCCAAATCTGTTTGGGTCCTTGTGTGTTAGTCATAGATCTTGTTCCCTTGGGAACCCATATTTTCTTTTGACTACTAACTCCATTCTTTCTAATCTTACATGTGGATGCACTATGTCCTTTTCCACCACAATGAAAGCATTTAATGAAAGGACTACTAGTCATGTAGGATGGTGAAATGAAGAAATTCTTGTAAGATTTTTCTTGACTGTTAGTGTTGAATCCTAACCCTGATTTGTTAAACATACATCTTTGTTTTCCAAGAAGTATATTCAAGTTATCTCTACCACATGTGAATTTGCTTAGCATTTTGTTTAGATCATCATTTTCGTTTTTTATCTTTTCACATGAAGTACATGATGATGATGATGCATGATTATTTGATGATAAACATTTAATACAATTTGCACTAGCATCAATCATCTTGAGTGTCTCATTTTCATCCTTTAAATTTTTTATTTCTTTGTTTAGACATGCAACTTGTTTTTCTAATGATCTAATAGTTTTTCTAAATTCTTTAAGAGTTTTAATATGCTTTAAAGATTCACTATGTAATTCTTCAAATAAATCTTGCAGTTCTTCATATAAAAGAGAAGTTGTAGAGCAAGTCGAGTTTACCTCGGATTCCGATTCATTGCCATCTTCCATAGTCATGAAGCACATATGTTGTATTTCTTTGCTTACTTTATTTGAAGCTTTAGAATCTTGCAAGAAACATACGTTGGCTTCTTCCTCACTTGAATTATTGGGAGAGCTTGAATCTTCATCCCAAGCTGCATAGGCTTTCTTTTTGAATCATTTCTTCTCTTTTGATTGTCTTTTCTCATTTTTGTCTTTATTTTGGAGATTTGGACAATCGGTTTTGTAGTGACCAGTTTTTCCACATTCGTAGCATGTAATGTTTTGTTTAGGTGATCCTTCATTTTTTGTTTTTCCTTTTGATGGAAAGGGAAATCTTCTTTATGGGTTTCTTCTTTTGAAGAATTTTCCATATTTCTTTACAAAGAAACTCATTTCTTCTTCATCCAATTCATCATCGGATAGATTCTTTTCTTTTTCTTCAGCTTGAAAGAGTGAGCCTGTTGCTTGGAGAGCCATTCCTTTGCTTTTCTTTTTGGATTGCTCCTTCAAAGTTAGCCTTGTCAGTTCTAATTCATGCTCTTGAAGTTTTCCAAAGAGTGTGGCAATGGACATGGTCTTCAAGTCTTTTGATTCACAAATAGCTGTCACCTTAGGTTGCCAGTCCCTGTTCAAGCTTCTCAAAACTTTCGTAACTAATTGAAAGTTAGTGTATGTAGAACCTAATGCATCTAAATGTGTGATGATATGAGTAAATCTCTTTTGCATACTTTGTATGGTTTCACCATCATTCATTTCAAATAGTTCAAATTCTCTAGTTAATCCTAGAATTTTAGAGACCTTAACCTCACTAGTTCCTTCATGCGTTATTTCTAACACATCCCACATTTCTTTTGCGGTTTTACAGGAAGCTATACGAAAATATTCATCTCTTCCTAAAGCGTTGGTGATTAAGTTTTTAGCTTTAGCATTCCAATTTGCTTCTTTAATTTCTTCCTCTGAAAATTCCTTTACATTCTTTGGAACATCATTGTTGCTCTCATCCTTTTTGGTTAGGACTTTATATCCCTCTTCAACAATGTTCCAAATTCTTAAATCATTTGATTCTAGGAAGATTTGCATTCGACTTTTCCAGTAAGCATAATCTGTACCATTAAAGAAGGGAGGTCTTGAAGTTGAAGTTCCCTCAAGAGGCATATCATTGTTCAAAGAGGCCATTACTTCTCTTGAAGCGGTTAAGCCTTTTATACAAGAGTCCAAGCTCTGATACCACTTGTTGGACAAGTGGCCTCAAACTCAAGAGGGGGGATGAATTGAGTTTTAAAAATATTTCTATTAAAATGCCTTACTTTTCTTTTTCAAAGCCAATTTATTTAATTTAAATAATTTACAGCGTGTAGTGACTAAATAATAGAAAAATAGATCAGGTAAATATTTGATGAGATATGAATTTAAATATGCTCAAATGATTAATCAATGCTTATGCAAGAGATAAGGGATAGAGAGATTTGCAAACTTGATATATCCTGGTTCGGTCACTACCACTGTGACCTACGTCCAGACTGAAGTCGCTCGATCAAATCTTTCACTAACGGTCAAGCTTCACGGGTGCTTGACAAACCTTTACAAATTCCCAAGACTTCTGTCTCTTGGTAG